TTCCTCTGAAAAATGACGGAACAGAACGGATGTTGACCGTGGCAAAGTACAGTAACCAAGCATCCAAAATCATGCATGACTGATGATGGACTTACCACAGGGGTCACGTTGACAGCTGTGGGGAGCAATGCTTGGGTTTTCGAAAGATAATCTAAATCTTGGTTTTTCCTAAAGACACGCCACAATTTTCTGAAGAAAAAGAGGAAAGAGGCCACCTCCTTCAGAGGAAAAGTCAGTCAGTAAGATTCATCTAAATTGTATAGGCTTCAACTTAGACCCGCCCAGGAGGGTTACGGAGAAGCAACGCTCCATTTAAAAAGAAAAAAAAATATTATTATACTTCGTTCCTGATTATTTCCATTTTTTGACCTACAAAGGCAAGAAATCATGAAAGTAATATTGTTGAACCCAGTTGTAAGTATAGGAGATGACTGTTAAACATAACAGATCCTTGCTTCACATGTTACTAATGGCAGAAGTTAAAGGCGTACATGATCCTCCTCCTTGATTTTGCCACAAAAACTCTGAAAGCCAGGTCTTGATTGAAAAATAGGAGCCAGCTCAAAGTCACCCAGTGAGCTTTATGATGGAGACAGGATTTGAACTCGAGGCTTCCATCCTAGTCTGGTGTTGTAACCACTAAAGGAGGTTCATGGCCAGGATCCTACTGGTGATTGTGTAAAGGTTGCGTAAGGATGCGATCAGATGGTTGCAAAGGGGGTGCACCGGATTGCATTCGCTCCAGACCAGCGCCAAGAAGGAGCAGCCCCACAGATTGTCCAGATGGGCCATCTTGGGCACGGATCGGTATTAGGTTGGAGTGCACTGCCTTATGCATCACAGGATCACTTGGAAATTATTATTATTAATATTTATTAAACTTATAAACCGCCCATCTAGAACGTGCCTACTCTGGGCAGTTTACACAAAACATAAAAAATAAACTAAAGGTAAAATCCAAATTAATCACAGAATAGGCAAGTGGTCCAAATTGTGATTTATTTCCCCTGTGATCACCCCCCCCCAAAGTTGCCACTGCTAATTGTGGCTAACTAATGCAGGGCCAGAAGACATGTCAATTTGTGTGGCCTAGTCATGTGCATGATCCCATTCCTTTCTTGAGCAGGGAGGTTGGACTTGATGGCCTTGCAGGCCCTTTCCCACTTCACTTTCCTATGATTTCTATGGTTCTGCAACTGAGATGTGAACAGCACCTCCTCAATGAGTTGCAATTAGCCAGGACATGCTGTGCAAGCTGTATGCAGATGCCAACAGGATTTGGTCCACTGATTTAATCAGGTCAGCGTTGATTCTGGCACATGTGGAATTCTACCTTCCACCTAACCTGAAATGAGCAGTCCAAGAATTCACCACTGGCCATAGGGGTGTCGAAGGCTGGGAACTGTAGTTCGGCACCTGGCTGGCTGGAGGATTTTGGGAGTTGCAGTCCAAAAGGTCATACTTCAAAACTGTGGCCCTGCCTGGGTCAATCTGACTTCCTTGTATCCATGAAGGATGTGGAGCTTGAAAGAAGGTCCTTAAAAGAAGGATGTTGATCTTGAAATAAAGACCTTGTAAGAGAAAGCTCTCAACGGCATCTTGAAGATGAATGAAAAAATGAAGAGTGTAAACGCAATCCTTAAAATGTCATACCCACACGCACACACGTAAGGAATCGATGCTCTCACTTACATGACTAGGCCCATCATTGTTCTGGACTACCAAAATGTTTGACTAAACAGAAAAGCGATATGCATCTCATTCAGTTAAGTGTCACACAACACATTGTTGATCTTACTAGGCTGAACGCTCAGATGTCAGGGTTTCCCATCTGTTGAGGTCCATTCCTAAGGCCTTCAGATCCCGCTTGCAGATATCCTTGTATCGCAGCTGTGGTCTCCCTCTGGGGCGCTTTCCCTGCACTAATTCTCCATATAGGAGATCCTTTGGAATCCGACCCTCACCCATTCTCACGACATGCCCAAGCCAACGTAGACGTTGCTGTTTCAGTAATGTATACATGCTAAGAATTCCAGCTCATTCTAGGACTACTCTATTTGGAACTTTGTCCTGCCAGGTGATGCCAAAAATCCGTCGGAGGCAATGCATATGGAAGGTGTTCAGCTTTCTCTCCTGCCATGCACAAAGGGTCCAGGACTCCCTGCGGGACAGGAGTGTGCTCAGGACACAGGCTCTATAGACCTGGATTTTGGTGTATGCCATCAACTTCTTATTAAGCCATACTCTCTTTGTGAGTCTAGAGAACATGGTAGCTGCTTTGCCAATGCGTTTATCCAGCTCGACATCTAGGGAGAGAGTGTCAGAGATGGTTGAGCCAAGATGCACAAATTCATGAACAACATCCAGTTCTTGCATGGAGATAGTAATAGAGGAAGGTGAGTCCACGCCCTGGCGCATGACTTGTGTTTTCTTCAGGCTGATTGTTAGTCCAAAGTCTTGGCAGGCCTTGGTGAAACGATTCATGAGTTGTAGGAGGTCTTCAGCAAAGTGGGCAACAATGGCTGCATCATCGGCGAAGAGGAAGTCCCGCATGCATCTCACCTGGAAATGGTCTTCGCTCTCAATCTAGAGAGATTAAAGAGCTTTCCATAGATCAACATTGTTGATATATGGAGAGATCATTGACATAGTAAGATGCTAAATATGTCTCCATGTTCCGATGCAAGGGATTGACAGGTGAAAGAGGTTTTTTTCTCTGTTTCTTGCTTCTTTAGTCTTTCCAGAAGGATAGGATCCACATTCTCTTCCTGGGAGCTGGACCTTTCCTGGGCATACCTGATGGTGTAACGGCAGGTTTAAACTGGGAATGATTTCCCCCGAGGAAACCCTGGGAACTTCCATTTGTTGATGGGAGCATGATGATCCCTAACAGCAGGAGCGGAAGCCATGGCAGTTGAAAAGGGAGTGGCAACTAGTGGAAGCTTGTGGTACAGATATCCTTCACGTTTCTGTAAACTAGAGCTTGGAAAAGGGGAAAAGAGCAGATACGGATCAAATGGTTTTCAATGCATTCCTATGGGAAATGCAGATTTGATCTGAGAACTTTTTGACTTGAGAACCGCCTTCCAATACGGATTAAGTTCTCAAGTCAAGACCCCCACTGTACTTGATGGTGTAACAGCAGGTTTAAACTGGGAATGACTTCCCCCGAGGAAACCCTGAGAACTTCCATTTGCTGATGGGAGGGTGATGATCCCTAACAGCAGGAGCGGAAGCCATGGCAGTTGAAAAGGGAGTGGCAACTAGTGGAAGCTTGTGGTACAGATATCCTTCACGTTTCTGTAAACTAGAGCTTGGAAAAGGATGAAGCTGAGGCTGTCCTCCTTTAGGCATATCATGAAAAGACATGATTTTCTGGAAAAGATAAAAATGTTGGAAGGCAGCAGGAAATGAGGAAGACCCAATGTGAGATGGACGGACTCCCTAAAAGAAGCCATGAGGTTGAGTTTATAAGAGCTGAGCAAGGCAACTGAAGAGAGGACTTTTTGGAGATCACTGATTCATTGGGTTGCCATCAGTCAGAGGGGACTTGGTGGCACACCACCAACAACAACAACAACAACCTCATCACCACCACCACCGAACTCACTCTCTTCTTCGCTCTCATCATTCTTTCAGTGCAGGAAATGCCACTTTCCAGTTGCTTTGACAACAACAACAACAACAACAACAACAACAACAACAACAACAACAACAACAACAACAACAACAACAACAACAACAACAACAACAACAACAACAGATCAGCAACACAGCTTGGAAAAGTTACTTTTACGATGGACAGTTCCCCAAACCTTCAGCCGGCTATGCTGGCTAAGGGATTCTAAGAAGCAGAGTATCCAACAGAGAAAGGATACAGACAAGACATTCAACTTTCCTGGGTAAACCTACTTTTAACTGTATATATTTATGACAACCATGATGTCAATTCAGAGGACATTCACATTTCTTCTTGCCTGTTTCAAGCTTGGCCCCAAACAGGAATGGCAGGTTATGTAACAAAAATGGGTGTAGATGTTCATCTCTCATTCTTGGCTCCTACAGTAGCTCAACCTGGGTGTTGTCTCCATTTAGCCAAAAAAACCCAGCTCATCCTTGGGCCACGTGCCAAAGGAGACACCCTTACTCTCTTTTTTTGGCAGTTTGCAAGAGGGAACGGAGAACGTTTCTTCATTGCAGGAGACGGCAAGCGAGCAAGGCAGCGATCGGAGAAGCGAAAAAGCAAATCATGGCCCACGAGTTATCGGAGGAGCAGATTGCCGAGTTCAAAGAAGCCTTCTTACTCTTCGACAAAGATGGGGATGGCGTCATCAGCAGCAAAGAACTGGGCACCGTCATGAGGTCCCTTGGCCAGAACCCAACAGAAGCCGAGCTCCGGGAGATGATTGCCAAGTTGGACACCGACGGCGATGGGACGGTCAATTTCCCAGAATTCCTTGCCTTGATAGCCAGAAGAATGAAGAACTGCGACAGTGAGGAGGAGATCCGAAAGGCTTTCAGGGTGTTCGACAGAGATGGGAATGGTTATGTCAGCGCGGCGGAGCTGCGACACATCATGACCAACCTTGGCGAAAAACTGACGCAGGAAGAAGTGGAGGAGATGATCAAGGAGGCCGATGTGGATGGAGATGGTCAAGTCAACTACGAAGAGTTCCTGCGGATCATGTCCTCCAAGTGAAGGCCGCTTCCAAGGGGCACCGACTGGATCCTATATACTATCAAACCATCTACTCTATCGCTTTTGTGTGGATGCTTTCTCCTTGGCAAAGCACGGCAGGTTGAATTCGGCTGGTGAAGAGAAGGACCGGTGGCAATGAAAACCATGAATTTGTCGGATTGAAGATTCCAGATCTCAGCAGTACTTTGTCTTTCTTTGGCGTCTGTTTGTGACATGGAATCTTCCTGTATTCTAAACTCCAGTGTGAGTTGAGAAAAGGTTAGAATTATAACCTAGAGTGGAGGAGCCCAGAACGTAGACTAAAACCTACTGATGATCAACTGGCAAATTTCAGAAAATTGTTGAGCTTCTGCTACCCACAGCTTAAAACAAGCAAGTCCAATAAATTCTGCCGTGGTTCATCTTGTCCTTATCATTTTTATTTTTATTCTTGCCTTCCACATTACTAAGCTATTATTAATACATTGCTTTTCACCAGGTTCTTTTTTTGTTTGTATGTTTGTTTTTTTGCAGGTCTATTGAACAAGTGTTTGTTTGTTTGTTTGTTTTTTTGCAGGTCTACTGAACAATTTCAAGTTTTGTGTGAGAACCATTGATTTGTTGTTACTCCAATTTGTAACAAATATTACTTGCTGTGGATTACAGTTCCCAGCCAGTAGTAAGGGCTTGGTGATGTAGCTGGATTGGAGTAGGCTGGAACTGGGCTAATTAGGGTTGTTTAGGGTTGCCTAGAAGTCAAAATTTAATTGGGTATCCTCCTTGCACCCACATGGCATATGCCGTTCAATGAACCCAGTTAGGCCTGCCTTTGTTATCCCTTAAGATAACAAAGAAGACAAATAAAATCCACTTCCATGTTCCCTCCTCACTCATCCTTCTTCTGGGAGGAAGCTTTCTTTTTTTAAAAAATCCTTAAAGGTATAGTGCATCAGCGCTGTCCTAATAGGGTTTTAAAAAAAAGATGTTTGCTTCCTTTTTCTGCTTCTCCACATACGTGCAGTGGAAGTTCTTAATTTCCCAACACCGTGATTGGATTAAGTTGTCTTGTTAGGCCACTTAACAATATTGGGAAATTGAAAACAGAAAAGATACCTACAGAAGAAAGCTCCACTTTGGTTTGATCCCAGCGGTCATACTTGCTGGAAACAAACCAAATGGAGCAATCCTGCCTGCACCTAAAGATGACAGGGAGCCAGAAAAGTGCAGATAGGTGTCCTTTCGGGATGGAATGGTTTTTGTGTTGGCACTTACATCGTCCGGTCACCAGTAAAAGGAGTGGGATAGAACACGGGAACTGGCTTTAAAGCCAATTCTGAGCACCTTGTCCCTGCGCTCAAGAGTGACAGTGAGACAAGATGCTCAGATTTTTGCTGACCTGCAGCTCCCATGACATCTAGGTAGCATAGCTAGCGGTGAGAGATCATGGGAGTTTCAGTTCTCAGAGAGAACACAGGGAACTGGCTTTAAAGCCAATTCTGAGCCCCTTGTGCCTGCGTTCGAGAGCGACAGTGAGACAAGATGCTCAGAGAGAACTGCAGGCCAGCAAAAACCTGGACGGCTGGAAGTCTTCCCGGGCCTTCTCTGCTTTTGATTCAGAAAAAGGTCCCTAGCAAAGTTATCCTGACAGGGTATCCTTTTTGTTCTCAATGGTTCCCATGCAGTTCAATGGAAGTAATCAAAGAGGCTGGAGGCTGGGATGTAGGAGGCAGGGTCCTCTTAACATTAGGGTCATAACGACTATGAAGGCTGGGAGTTAACGACTATTTCTGACTTTGTTCCTTTCCTTTGACCTACAAAAGATGAAGTAGCCCCATTTCGTTTCTGTGCTGGAAAATAAAACATGGTGTTTTGGTGATCAGTAGTTTGTGGCTTGTGGGAGAACTTAACTTCCAATCACAAGTATTAAGTAAAATAATTCTATGGAGCCTCCAGGTAAGGAGGCAGTATACCTGCAAATATTAGCAGGGACTAGAACAGCAAAAGCAGCTGGGGGGGGGGAATTGTGGAAGGAGTATGTGATTAGGCACTATGTGAAGCAGGAAGCTGATCCAGAAAGCCCAGAGTTCAGAACTAATACTACAAATCCCAAAACTCTAAACCAGGGGATACTGGGAACTGTAGTCCTGAACAACAGCTTTCCCAAGCTCTAAGAAGGACATTTGTTCTAAACCATCCCAGATTCTTTCATTATGTGTTCCTTATCACCTCCCAGCAAAGACTTGAGAAATTACTTCTTGGGAGGATAACGCCCATCCTCCTTCAGCCTTCACAGCCAGGGAGAGTAACTTTTTAAAGTTTGGCTTGCCTCCTCCTCAAGGTACTGGAGTGTGTGCTTGATCTGGGGGAGCAGCGGGGCAGGGCAGGGCCAGTTCTCAGAAAAACAGGTCCAGAGTTGTTCTTTGCTCGCTGCCCGGGGTGAAATGAAAAAGGTGGGACGCAGGGTGGCTTGGTGCTGGTAACAGGCATGGAACTTTCCTTCCATAGTTGTTCCAAAAAAATAATAATAAAAATCAAGAAAACTGCCAAGGCGTATAAGTGGTTTCCGGCCGCAGCTCAAGTTTGCTGTAAGATGTATTCGCGAAGGCTTTCACGGCCGGGATCCGATGGTGGTTGCAGGTTTTCCAGGTTGTCTGGCTGTATTCGGAAGGTTTTTCTTCATAATGTTTCTCCCGTCTCTGTGGCCCAGCATCTTCAGAGGACAGGAGTCGGAACTCTGTCTGTGCTCTGGTGCAGTTTGTGGGATAGTTGAGTATTTATAGCTGTGGGATCAGCTTTTTGTCCTTTTCAGGAGATTGGGTGATCCTACAGCACAAATACTCAACGACACCACACCAGAACACAGGCAGAGTTCTGACTCCTGTCCTCTGAAGATGCCCGTGGCCACAGAGACGGGTGAAACGTTGGGAAGAAAAACCTCAAGAACACGGCCAGACAGCCCAAAAAACCTACAGCCACCATTTGCTGTAAGAGATTTTCTTCCACGTCAATCCTAAGAGACCCCAAGATGGAGGTGGCCCCACGGAAGGACAACAGAAAAGCAAGCAGCCTTGTGGCCGTTCTCCCACTGCCCTGTTTTGAGCAGCAAGCGACAGTTCAGACGCGGCGTGGATCTCAAAAGGCCACGTCTCCGATATCCCGAAATGAAATTACAATGGCACAATGGTGCTATTTATAGGCACATTCACGCCAGCCCGGGGGCGGGTGGGCTTCTTCTCGGGTCTGTCCTGTACTCCCAAACGACGTCACATAGGCGCACATTCTCCTGCGTGCTAAAAGAGAAGAAAAGAAAATAAGTGCATCCAAGTTTTGTCGCTTTGTGTTCCAAACAGGCTGAGCCTTGCAGAGGAGAAAGACTGAAAGTGCAGGGGGGGGGGCTGCGAACACGTCTGGAAGAAAATAGGTAAAAGAAGAAAAGAAAATAAGTGCATCCAAGTTTTGTCGCTTTGTGTTCCAAACAGGCTGAGCCTTGCAGAGGAGAAAGACTGAAAGTGCCAGGGGTGTGGGGGCTACGAACACGGCTGGAGGAAAATGGGTAACCCAGAAAACCACCACCGAGGAAAACTCAAACCTTGGGAGTTTTTCAAACGGGGTTTCTACGAACCCCGAAGTTTCTTGGCAGCTCATGGAGGGGGGCGTAGATGGCTGAGAAAACCCTCTCACCTCGTTCTCCTCGGCCACACACATTTTATTTTATTTTAAATCATTTACCCGCAGAAATCCAAGTCCACGTAGAGCTGACCGAGGGCCCCACCAATTTCTCCTTGAGGGCCTCCAGTGTTGGAGCGCTCCCCACCTCCCGAGGTCATGGGCTCCACTGTTATAAATAGACATATAAATAAATAAGCCTTCTCTGAAAGCCTTCTGCATGGACCAACCCCCACCCCCACCCCACCCCAGATGGAATGCTCCTGAGGTCTGGTCTCATGGGTGGAATGAATTGAACCCATTAGCACCAGAACCTTCCCTGGTCCAAGTATCCTCATAAAGGCTAATGGGCAGAAGTCAGTTTCTAGCAGTTTTTAACTGATGCTCGGGAGCATGAGTCGTACAACGACGTCTTCTGAAAGGCAGCGCCTAGCCTGTTCCTTGCAAGAAACCCATGTAGGTACCTTGTGTTTTCATTTCGTTGCGTAGCGATTGCTCTGCCCTGAACATGGGTGGGTCTTCTCGAGAGACACCGATGAGGCCAAAAGGGGTGTGTAGGTGTCATGACGCCTGCTTAGCTTCCTGCAACAGCTCGTCTGAGCCATAAATTTCTACGCTCGTTATATCCAGGTACATCGCCCCCCTACAGAAGGGAAAAGATGTTTCATAGATGAATGACTCACCAACCCATCACCGCCTGCCTAACATCAGTGCGCAGGGAATGAGAATCACAAAAGCTTCCACGACTTCTGCCATTTGACTAACCCCCTGGAAATGTGTTGCCTTTTCTACTCCTGCAGTTTTGTTTTGTTTTTTGAGTGGAAGAAATAGATTTGTCTCCTGTTTTTTTATTAATTCAATGCCACTGCCCTAAAAAAAAACTAGACACCAGAACCCTTCTTTTGCCCCGGGACTGGAAAAACCAAAGTAGAAACAGATGGAGAGGGAGAGAATAAGAATTAATTAAAGACAGTTAGTTCTCCACGGGAAGCCGGTTTTACTGGTGTGCTCTAAAATTATGCTTCTTGTACAGTCATGCTCGACTCGATCTTCTTTGGTTGCTTCCCATTTATGGGGACGCTAATGGCATTCTCAAGGACTGTGAAAAAATTCAACACACACACACACACACACATCAGTGAGTTTCTATAGTCAAACTATGATCCATGCCTATCTATTGATTTATTTAGCATTATTTGTAGGCTGCTTTTCTACCAGTAAGAGAAGCCAAAGTGGCTCACAAGGCTAAAACAAGAAACACTGTCAACCAACCAACCAACCAACCAACCAACCAACCAACCAACAGATTGAAAAGCAATTTAACTACAATAATGATTAAAAGTCCATTAGGTAATTAGAAACATTTAAAGCTTTCCAAACAAAAGTGGAAGGCAACAGACAGACAAACCCAGCATCTGGGGACTCAGGCATAGTGATCAAAAACCTGCCTGAAAAAGTAGGTCTTCAGCTATTGGCAGAAGAATAAAAGGGAAGGGGGGGGCAGCCTGATCTCCCGAAGGAGAGCCTTCCACAACCTGGTTAACTCTCTAGCCGAGTTAATTCTTACAATAGGGCAGAAGGTGTTTGAGGTCACCTTGGCTCAACCATCTCTGACACCCTGTCTCTAGATGTCGAGCTGGATAAATGCATTGGGAAAGCAGCCACCATGTTCTCTAGACTCACAAAGAGAGTTTGGCTCAATAAGAAGCTGACGGCATAGACCAAGATCCAGGTCTCTAGAGCCTGTGTCCTGAGCACACTCCTGTCCTGCAGTGAGTCCTGGACCCTTTGTGCACGGCAAGAGAGGAAGCTGAACGCCTTCCA